TCTACTTTTCTCATCTCTGTTGGTAACTTCAGAGAAAATTGCCAAACCTCTTGTTCTATCATACCTTATAATTTTATGGATCAGTGTATTTCCCCACACAGTTTGGGCTGTTCAGAGGCGTCCAGTGCATGTGTTTCCTGGAGTGGAAGATGACTTTGAAATCTGGCAGAAGGTGACTGACAGAAACCTGAGAGACGGTGTCATGTGGTCCAAAATTCCTTGTATTGTACTGTATAGGGGTGTAAAGGAACACATAGGCTGTTTGTGCCAAACTGTTTCAGTACAGGACTTTAGTTTGGTGCAGATGTGTATTGAATTCAGTCTTTAATAGCACTTAACAGTAGGCTCGCTTTGAGTGTGGAACATTTTTTCAAATACGAGTTCCCACGCAAACATATTACGTGGTGGACCGCAGCGCAATAAACACACAGGGCGTTTTCCAATATGCATTCTTCTCTGTACTTGTGTCCGTGCGGACTTGTAAAACATCATCAGTCACAGCCCGAGTGCTGTTCCAATTCAAAGTCTGCATCCAATCAAGTACACCTTAAAAAACCTGGTGTTCTTGCTCCGCCTATTTTATCGGGGATCCTTTGGGAGTCAAGTCTTAAGTTAAAGTCAGAAAAAACTAGTCTAAATCAGGTCTCACGTCAACTTGAACCAAGTCTAGTCTCAGGTCCAAGGCATGTCTCAGGTCAAATGCAATCAAGACCAACCAAGTCAAGCTTCAAGTCAAGTCTCAAGTCACTGGAGACAAGTACAATTCAAGACACAAGATGAAGTCAATCAAGACAAATCCCAGGCTAGTTTTAGATAATTCAAGCCAAGTCTATGTCAAGTCTTAAGTGATTTGAAACAAGTTCAAGTCAAATCTCAAATTTCAGGTCAAAACTTATTTTAAAGATGTACCCGCACTAGGCACGGTTGCCTTGTACTGTGCCTGAGCAACACTGTTCCCATTCCCCACTCCCCCACTGGCCTGCACTCAGGCTGCATTTGAAATGACCCAGGTCAGAGCACACTTACGTCACCATAATGCAGCTGAAGAGGAGCGCTCTCGGATAGTATATAGTATATTCTGTGCGTTACATCACACACTGTAAACAGTGTGTACTGTGCCTGAGTCCAGTTGAACCATGCCCGGGCCCACCTCTTCCAAGTAGGCCAGGGCACGGAGCGTTAACACTAGTCAAACGAATTGGACTTTGTGGTCAAATGTGCTCAGGCACATTACGGATTGCCTGGTGTGAGTACACCCTAAAAGCTAATTGGAACAAGTCAAGATCATTCAACTCAAGTTGTAACTCAGACATCTGAAATGTCAATTATCAAGTTACATCCATCAAGATGAGTTAAAATCAAGTCTCTAGTCAAAATCAACTGAAACAAAGGTCCCAGGTCTGTCAGACAAAGTAAGTGTCATGTCTCAAGTGCTTGATTGCAAGTCCAGGTCAAGTCTTTCAAGTCTGGACGCTAAGCGATGCGTCATTCCACACATTTTTATTTTAACACTCTCCTTATAGTGTTTTATATAGTTAAGACCGTGTATTTATATATATTTTTCTGTCTGTTTATTAATTTAACAGTCTTATTTTGATTATCTAATTGTATGTTTAATGTCTGTTGAGTGCTTTGGTTTGAATTTGTAGTCTTTAAATCTGGCCTGCATTTAGAGTTTGGGGTTGGAAACCATCCTTACCCCTTGTTCTGAATACTGTCTTTGGGAATATGACAAGTGACCAGTCCAGGAAATCCATGCTGCCAGGATACCAGTAGTAAAATCAGTCACTCTTGATGTTGGCTGGAATACCTGGCCCTCTTCATAGCTATTCAAAAACTGTTCATTCTGCAAAACTATGAATTTACTTTTCCCAAAATTGCATGGAAGGGGTCTGTGGGTTTTGGAATGGCCATATGGGTTAGTTTTTATATTGCTTGTACTATATGTTTACTTAATTTGTAGAAAGCAGGCTCAATATGTTGCAGTCAGGAAATATTTTTATGGCTTAAATGCAAATGGGTATTTGCAAACAAGTTTATGTGCCACTAGAGATCCTGATCTCGAAACAGGTCCTTCAGAAACCATCTTGACACCAGCCAAACAACCAAAGATTGTTGAGGTTTCACAATGTAAATGCAATCATTCTGAGATGCGTTTTACTCCATGTGGGTCAATAATACTTTATATGCGCTGTTCATCATGTATTAGCTCCAGTAAAGCATCAGGGCAAGTGAAATATAGCCTGCAGTGTGGTCCCATATTTACAGCTTGCTGCTGTAGCTTCAGCCCACTGAGTCCCCAAACACAATGCGCCTCTTCCCAGATTTACACTGAGCCTCTTGCCTGAGGCCCAACTCTCTTCTTGGACCACTAACTGCTGCTGGTGGAATAGCCAAGGCCCCCTAAAGCAACCTTCGGCCCCTCAGAGTGTGACATGTGAAGTTGTGTTGCTAGTGATGTGAAAAGCTATTAATATGAACCACTGAAAATGGCAAAGACACAAAATTGCACTATTGCCTGGAGAGTACAGCTCTGTAAAGTTTCTTACAGTGTCTTATTTATTACTTATCATTCGCTATAGCAGTATTCAAACTAGTTATTGCAATTGTGCCATTTAGGTTTTGTTGTCTTTACATGTTAAAAAACTTACTGGGACTTTTTTGTGAGAACCTTTCTCAAATTTAAATCCATATGATTAAAGGTTTCATGGTGATAATAATAGCTGGTTTTTGGATAAGATGTTTCAAAATAAGGTATCGCTACCTGAGAAATATGTCACGATTCAGAATAATAAGTTGTACAACGCAAAGAAGAGGTGGTTTGCTGCCTAAAGGTGTTTCAATGTAATTAACCTAAAGTAAAACCTGATGACACAGTTGATTCATCTATACCGTTAATCCTATAGAGGATGGCAGGCACAGAGAGAAGGTAAAGTCCACACAGAAAGACCCTGGTCAGGCATGAGGATTGAACCTGGAACCTTATGAAGCAATAGCACTCACCACTGCACCACTGTGTCACCCACCTAGTTTTATATGGTTTTTAAAGTTTTTTAAATGATGTTAACCCAATTTTCAGACTTCCCTCAGATGAAAAGGTCATGCTGAATTCAACCTCTACATGGGAACAATACAGTTTTTTTTTTTTTATTTGTTATTTATTTTTCAGGGACACATACAACTAAACATTGTGACACTCATGCAATGCATATTGGGCATCTAAGAGGTAATTTACAGCCACTGTCCCTGGTTAGGCTTTTATAAAACAGGCTCAAACATCCAAGAACTGAATAGACAAAACCAGATAAAACCAAGTGTAACAAACCGGCCCAGCACTAATGTAACGAGATCTTTTCAGTTCTCAACCAGTGACCATTTCTACCAAAATCCCATATAATTAACATAGTTTTGGTCGACCACTTTTATTCCATGGTGAACCGCCTACTTTTGATACAGCAATGGGACAAGTGTGAGATATTTTAACACCAAACATGAGAAAGAGAGGATCTGACAATTATCTGGTGAGGGAATGTCAAATCGATACTAAAACTTGCTTGGGGTGAACTGTGTGAGGGATCTGTACTTGATTACGGACATGAAAGAATAAAACCTAATGACATATCAAACTGAAATGTTAATACATTTCTGCCTTGAGTTAATGCACTTTTTAAATATTTTATTGTAGTCTGAGAGTCTGAACGTGTTTGCACTGTCACAAACCTGCACACCACTGCTCCGCTGTATCAAAAATAACACAACCTAAAACAGAGCAGGATCCAATCGGATGCTTTATATTAAGAGATCATTTATTTTGGAATTCAACCCTTTCTTCGGTTTCAGTTCCTTATTAGCCACAGCTTTACTTTGCTCCCTGGCTCGGTGAACTCCAACATAGCACCCCAAAGATCGAATTGGAAACAGACTCCGCTACAAAAGATCCATTACTCTTTTCTCTTTTGCAAAGCAAATTCTTTTATAACTTGCTGTTCAATATTGATTATAATGGCTGTGTAATGCTCAGTAATCCATGAAGTTTTCTTTCCTCCATGAAACCTGCTCAGTCATGACCTCAATGTGGTGCTTGTGTTGGTTTTTTTCCAAAAAAGCAGAATGCCAGATGGTCATTTAGAACACGGCACTAACTGACCAATCTTACAGCACGCAAACATATACAGAATGTGTTATTATTAGTATTTAATCTTAAGAAGAAAGATTAAAGTCAAAGCCTGTTATCCAATGTGCAAACACTAAAAGGCACCACAGACCATTTGATATCCACACGGTCTCAGCCACTTTGATTTGCATTGCTGCATATATAACATGATGATGCCCTATCTTTCCATTTTGTGTTATGTTATGCAGCAATCTGACCAGCCAATCACAATACAATCTAAAAATGAAATTCAGTCAAGCATTTTGACTCGCTTTGTGGTTGGAGCATTTCGGCCAGAAATGTCTGGAAGTGAGATGATTGTCTATTTCATTCATCCTCCTCCCCTGCTGTATATTAAAGGCTCTGTTTAGACCGTGAAACCAAAGGTGCAACAGAGGGCGAGGGAGAGAGAGAGGATCCACTACTTGGTTTGCCTGGCGTCTCGTCTAAAGCTGACCTATTTTCAGCTACAACACAAAAATATATGCATCCTTTCACTGAAATACATGGGTTTCACATGTGTTTCTCTTAAGCAATATGTCCATGTGGGCTCTATAAAATCAGTAACAAACCCAGTAGCCAGCCAGCACAGCCAGTGTAACACAAAACTGCTGTGTGTGCCTTACCATATGTCGGAAGTTTAAAAGAGATGTTTAAAAAAACAGCAAAAATAATAATTCTGTAAATAATTCTTCCCAAATAACTTTGTTCCCAGATGTGTTCTCACTAATGGAGCCATCGGACAGTGAATGTTCTTGATAATCCTTCACTGTTTAAATGCACTTTAAATCAACAACAACAGCTTCACCGCAGTCATCTAACAGTTACTATGATCTTTTCTCTACAGTTACTGCAACTGGAAGACACAGGTGTCCATGTCCACATCCAGCCCTAACTTTGAGGTGATTTATGATGACCCTAATGGCCTTCTCTTTAAGAACAAGAGGGACAAGAAGATTCTGAACGTGGACCCCTTGGTAGGTTGTTGTTGGTGCTTTGTCCTGCTTTGTTTTTAAGTTTAATGGAGACAAAAAGGTTCTGTTACTTACATCAGTTCACCTTAACATGGATAGGGCCATGTATTTATATCCGAGCACGACCTGTACCTGAGAATGCAACGTTCGAACCTGGCCTGAGCCTGATGCATTGGGTATGTAGGGTGATTTTCCACTTGTCATTAAACAAAGCAGACACATAAATGCTCCAGCCGTGCAGCCTAAAGTTTGGCCTACATGACTGGACCTGAACCTGGCCCAAACCCTCGAGTACCAACAGGTCCCGTCAGGTTTGGTTCAAGCAACCACAGTTCAAAAAGGCTATAAAGCAAAAAGCTCTTTTCAACGTTGTTTGGCTGCAAAGGGGGCTTCTTTAAAAATGAAGTTATTGTTCTTGTGGCTCAGGTGACTAATCCACCACATCCTGTTTGTTTAATATGGCCTGGGCCCTTATGTTGCATTCCATGTTCTTACTTTCTCACATTGTTCCCAGATTTAATCATCGGCTGCAAAAATGCTCTCTGTTAAAAGTTATTTTTAACAAGGCATGAGAAACAGTTGGGGAGGGAGAGAGAAAGAAAGTGGGAGGGAAAGATACTTGCTTTCCACCTGCACAAAAACATGGAGGATCAAGGGGTCGAGACAGGTGCTTCCTCCACACTCACAGTCCGACGGGGACCCGGGAAGAAGAACAACTGACAGACAGTGGTTTTTTTTCTCCACTTTCCCTCTTTGCTGGGGAGTAGGGAGGTCGGTGGTGGGGCTGAACTATTTTGAAATTGCAGACAGAGCTGTGGGGACTGCGTTTTTGAGGCCAAGCGTCAAAATGGCAGCACAGTGCTCTAGCTGCGGTCAAGCACCGCCCCAACCAGGCTGTCTATTAAAAACACAAGAGAAGGCAGAGAAAGCCAGACACAGCAAACCACCCGTGTGCCCAGAACCCAGCTCAGCCCGGATTGGTTCGGCATGGAGCAGCACAGAACCATTCAGCTCTTAACCGAACATGAGCTCACTAGCTGCTTATGTGGCCACAGATCCGCAGGGGAACGTTCCAAAATCAAGGCTCACATCAACTCTTTTTGGGTGGTTTGTTTGTTTTTCTGCCTTTGTCATACCATGACCACATTTTCTGATCTGGCCAAAAAGTGGGTAAGGGGGTGGAGGGTTGTCATATTTCAGTTATGACAATGGTTTGATTTAATCTAAGTAAAAGTTTGAGAAAAACCGATGACATTGATGACACATTTTGGTTTCTGTAAAAACAGATGCTCATCATTTAGTTCACCCAGTGTTTCCTATTTTCTATTAATGTGCCTATGGAGTCATTTTCTATTAGTCTATTTTTATTGATGCTCTTTTGAACTTGCAAAGAAAAACTGCCTCGCTTTTCAGGAGACCCACAAGCGTGTCTGAGGAAACTGTAAATTGAGTTGAATAGTTCTGTAGCTACGGATCCACTCCCACTAGGAGCTTTTTGACACACTTAGCTCTAAGTAAATGTTCCCAGCTGCTGATGGCTTTACATCTTAGTGCTGGAGCTGTGTCAGTTTTGACACTTAAAGTAACACAACATATCCTGGAAAATGAACAGTGACAGTCACTGTCAAATTATGCTGCACTTGACCTCATGTTTAATATTCTATACCTGTTACTATAAAGAGATGTGTTCTGGATTTCTGTGGTTTTGTTTAATTGCTAACATACTCTAAGGAAGCTTTCACATTTTAAGCCTGCATTAAGAGATTTTTTTTACACTAGCACTGAATCTAATGATTCTATGTAATGGAAAAGGTGGCGTTTGTAGAATTAGCACCAACTATGTGACTATGTGACAGCTTTCAGCTTCTCTTTGTTCAGAGCTTTGGTTCTCTAATTAAACACACATTGTATAGTTGAGTCTTATGGATCTAGTTAACCCCTATATGAAACCATAAACAGCTGTTTTCAGTAAACAAGCCCAGATAAACTTACTTTCTAGCACTAACCAAAAAAATAGGGACCTGCTTGTTTAAAAAGTGGAATATCTATGTATCAGATTGTAGCTAAATGTATAATTTTTGGGGGCGGTGTAAACATCTCTGGGTACCCACATGATGCAGAGGTTCACAGATAATGTGCACATTTCACAAATCCTAAGAACGCAGTGTCTGTGATACAAGTTGTACTTACAAGTATAAGGGAAACAGCCATGTCTGTGTACTGCCCCTGTGGATGATCACCACATGCAACCCAAGGAAACAACTTATTTGTTAACATGTTCAACAACTTGAAAAGGCATCGGTCTGTTAGGAGGGTAACTGCTTTAGAACTCTCTGCTCCCTAGTGGTCAAATATTGCTTAATGCCACAAAAAACCTCAGTGCCAAGGTACAATCAAACGGATAGTGAAACAAATTTTGCAGAAAATAGAAAAGCACAGTATATAAAGTCAATTGACAGGCACATGTGCTGACATGGACCGATGTATTCTCATGACCCGAAATGCAAAATCCGTCTTTTTATGACGTAAAAGCAAAGAAATTAGAAAAATGCCAGAGAGAACTTGACTTCTTGTCCAGTTTTGAGTTCAGTCCAAGCCTAGACTGTCACACTAACACACATATAGCACAGATGGCAAAAACACTGATGTATGAAGTTATGTGATAATTTGCTTTGTATTTAGTTTGAATGCACCTTTATGGGCTGTAGATGACAGTGTCCAAACAAGCCCTGCTCACTGCTCTAACTGTGCTGGGTTCCAGTCTGGTCCTGGTGAGGACTCCAGCAGGACGTGCCTGCAGTCAGACCTCTACATCCATGTCGTCATCTATGACCACAACATCAGGACAGTCTGAGCTTCAGAGGCTGCTGCCGACACGAGCACGGAGAGCTCTGGAAGCCTCTAATTTGACTGAGTCGATGAAGTTAAACCATTTACAAACTGTTCCCCTCATATCATGCATGGGTGGAGGTGCTCCAGTGGAAAGATGGCACTACACTGAGGATTCCCAGAGGAAGAGCTGGACGGACTAGTGCCACAACTTGGACTTTTTGTAGATGTTACTTTAGATTTGTGACATTATCCTCCTGTGAAGTTACAAAACAGCTTTATTGTAAATTTGTTTTTTATCTTAAAGTCTTCTTTATTCCCTCTACTGAGGACCGAGGCCCACTTGGCTCAGTGTGTTTGGCATTGCCAGACCTTCAGCCTTAGTCAAGGGGATGTAACCTGCTCAGGGACCCTGGGCTCATCCCATCGTCTGACCTGGCATGTTTTGAGCTGTTTGTCTAAACAAACTAAAGGCATAACAAGTTTGAAAGATGGTGGGGGTTGCGTTCATGTCCTCCCCCAGGCTGCGGTAGCTCCAACTGGACCGCAAGAAATGGTAATGGGCTTAAAGCTTTCCGCATGTTCCCAGATGCAAGGCACACTTTACAGGACATCAAAGTGCTCTATCATTTACATATTAGTCATTCACTGTGGCATTTTTAATGGAAGACAACTCTACAAATCACCTTCTACAGAAGATGTTTAGCAGCTTCTTCCCTTTTGATTTCTGGATTTATATGCTTTCCATTTGTTCTTGAAACATATGGTCGAAATCAGTCCCACCACAGGTAACATTATCTATGTCTATAAGGTAACAAATTACAGACTCTTGTTATTTGTTTGAAAATTTGTTTTCTGTGGACTCTGCAGACACAGAGTTCAGGGTGAAAAGACTTTTTCCATTTAGTCACAAAGCAACATCCTGCACATGTACCAGCTCTGTGGAGGCCGTTCTGTCCAAACCTAAGTAGAGCTGATAGATAGATAGATAGATAGATAGATAACTTTATTAAACTGTTGCAAATATTCACATAAATCACAAAAAATGAGATGATAAGAAGCAATACAATTAAAGGCCAAATTATATACAAAAGCTTAATCAACTAAATAAAGTATACAAATATAAACAGACAAAAATAAAAAAGAGACTAAAGACAGATGTGTGACTAGACTGTTTGCTGAATATACACTGTACAAAAATAGTACCTGTTCATTAAACTGCAAGATTGTACATGGAGGCTTAACTTTCAGTGAATATATGAATTGTTGTACGATGTATATGCACAAGGTAAAAGTAATGCAGTGCACTTTCCCCAGTTTTAATTGCTCCTCAAAACACTTAAGTGAAAATGAAAATTCAGCAATAGTTTCACATTCAACATCTCCCACATGAATGTACAGCTAAAAATATTTTTTTATCTTTTTGTTCAATGAAGTTCAATTCCATGTTATTTCTATGGCACCAAATCACAACAAAAATCATCCCAGGACACGGTACACTGTAAAGTCTAGACCTACAGTATTATGGAAGAAAACCCAACAACCCTCCCAAGCAGCACTTGGTGACAGTGCTGCTTTAACGGAGGAGCCCTCCGACAGGTGGGCGGCCTTCTGTCTTGACCGGTTGGGCTGAGTAGATAGAGGTGCTATCACTTACAAACTGGCATCAAAAACAACTAAATCATATTTCACTTGGGGAATAAAGTTTGGCAAGAACTCACATCTATCACGACTCTGTTATAATTATAAAAATATAACCAGCTGGCACCCCAATAGCCGAGTGGTTTCCATCTGTGGTTCAAGTCCAGCAGAGGATGATTGTCACAGGTCTCCTCCTCTCCCTCCCTGCTTCCTGTACGCCTCTCTGTGACCAACTTTAGTGAAATAAAAGCAAAAATACAACCAGGAGTTAGTTAGCTGAGCCTAGCATAAAGACTGGAAATGTAAGGAAACAGCTTGCATCTCCAAAGGCAAGCTGTTTCTACCTACTAGCTCTTCTAAGGCTCACTAATTAACTCTTTTTGTTTGTTTAATGTGCACAAAAACCAAAGTTGGGGTTTTACAATGGGTTGTGATGGCCTATTTATTGGCCCGGGAGCATGGAGACTTCCTGGATTCTCTATAATCACTGTATTTTTAATTTACCTTGCACAAAGCGGTGCTGGCTGTTTCCATTAGCTCCCATTCTTCACAGTAAGCTAAATTCATGTAGCTTAATATCTAATCCACAGGTATAAGAGTGGCACTGTTTTTTTTTCATGTAACTCTTGGCTAAAACACAAATTTCCTAAAATGATCTATCCCTTTTAACTGACAGTGGCAGTCATACTTAATGAGCCCTTGTATTTATTTTCCCTGCATCCACTCTGCCGAAAATTCTTTCTGAAAGTAATGAGGTTTAAACAGATTAGCTCATTCAGTCACAAACCTCTGTCTCTCGGCCACCCTGATACCAGAGCAGCCTTCCTCTGGCTGCATGTGTGTGTCTGTTCTCGCTGGATCGGGCCCTGGCGGCCTCATGGAAACACGTTGACATGGGCATGTGGGTTCTGGTTCTGTAAAAGTGGGAGTTTGGGAAATGGGGTTTCTGGTTTCTGGCTTTTTTAGTCAGTGGATTTCTGGGTTTATGTTGGGGTGATGGTGATGAGGTCTGTGAAAAGTCTGAAGGAGTAATTAACCAACATGACTGACTGGGTGAACAGGTGTCAGATGAATTGTAATTTAACTTTTGCATTTCTTTCTCTAAATGTTTTTGCTGTTAAGTATGTTTTTAAACTCCACTTTTGAGCTGGTCACGTTAAGACACCTCTGAATAAACTGGTTTGTCTTTGCTATTGTCTCAACAAAACTAACTGGATGAACAAGGATGAGAAGTACATTCAAATTTGGCTGAAGGATTGTGTTGACCTCTTTCTGAAAGCCCAGATTTACCCTGGAGGCAACAAACTGTCCCCCTGACTATCTCAGCCGTGTCTGGGTAGTAAGATCTCTAGCCGGGTGGCGAATGAACAGCGCACCCTGCACTACAGCTGTTTAGATTTATAGACCGCAGCTCATGCATGTGGCCCAGTGACAGTGATGGAACAGCCCGCTCAGCGCTCCCTCCCTGAAAGTGGCATCAGTCACTGGTCAGTCCAAACACGTACCAGTTACAACAGCAGATGTGCACATGGAAAAAGGCTATTTAAAATGCCAGTGGACTGACAAACAAGCAAGTATCTCTTGAACAGGCCACTTTTAATGTGCCTTGCCTCTGTGGAAGACCAAATCCAAAAACGGAGTTAGTGGATCTCACCCAGACAAATCATGTGTCTGTAAATAGTAATCGTTTCACAGTAAAGTCTAATTTAAATGGTTCTATCTCTCTTCATCTTTACAGGGCTTTTAAGCTGCTGGGGTTTTAACTGCAGTATTGTTTTATTTGTCTGAGGTCTGACCTGCCCCTAGTTATACACAAGGTAACGTGGTGGATTCAGGCTAAACTGGGCCTTAGATACCACAGGCAGTATTCAGCCTTCTCCATGTAACAGGCTCTCAGTTTCACCTTACTTGGTTGGTATGTCTTCATGTAGTGCTGCAACTGAATGTGAAGCAAAACACTGACATGGTGAAAGCAAAAATGTCTAATTCATATGTACATAAAATGATCATTTTAATGAGCTGGAAGCAACACCTCTGATTTATGATGAGGGTGTTGATGAGCTCTTTCAGTGCTGATAATAAATTAGGTTTTACACTGGCAAACATCCAGGCAGAGGCACTTCATAAAGTTCAACAGGCCTTATTATAACACATAAATTTAGATTTTAGAAGGTGTACTAGTTATGATTTCCTACTTTATTTTAAATATGGACCACAGGTGTGAAGAGTAGTGCACTGACTGGCTGATTAATCTGCCTTACTTCCAGTTGTCTTGGTTCTGCTTTTGCTTTACTGTTGTTTAGATTGATGCTCTCCTGTCCATCTCCAGTTGAAGAGGTTAAGTCTGTTCAGCGTGTTGACTGCTAAGAAGAACATGGCATGCTAATATTATTGCCATCAGATGTCCAAGGGCGGGGAGATGCCCTAATCATTTCCTCCTGAGTGCCCCTGAAAGAGAAGTCCAGGGGGGGATTGTCACAGTACAGCATCCGGATCAGACGGCGATAGTACAGGATGTGTGCGCTTAACTCCACTGAACTAAACTAGAAGGCAGAGAGAGCCTTTAATGCCGGCGTTAAGCTGCTTTGTTCAGCAGTGCGACCCACACGCACAGCTTTGCAGAGTATAAATTACGCATTTAGGGTCTGTTCTGTGGGAGCAGTTTGGATATTAAAATCAGTTCAAAAAATCGGTGGAATGTCCTTTTAATATTTTTAATCAGTCTCGAATCAACTGACAAAATGGCTTCCTTCGGCTCTTGATAACATGAGGTAATTTGTCCCCAGGCTGAATGTGCGTAAAAGTATCTTAAACAGGAAACTCTCTCTCTCTCTCTCTCGTGTGTGTGTGTGTGTGTGTGTGTGTGTGTGTGTGTGTGTGTGTGTGTGTGTGTGTGTGAGGGTGAGTGAGCGAGAGAGAGAGAGGAATACCCAGCTGGTCCCTCAAGCCCTATAATACCAAGCACAACATGCTTTACCTTCAATGAAAGCTGAGACGGAGGACGGTTGACTGCCTGTCCTGAAATCAGCTCAGAGCTCGAATATAAAACCAAGTGCGTCGCTGCTTTAGCAGCTTAGTTCTCCTGCAGTATTGCATCTTCTGCTATGTACCGCAACTTTTAACATCTGCTATCTGTAGCACGTTAAGACCTGCAACTCATCAAAACAGAGAGACAAGTGGATAAGTCCTATCTCCTGCTGCCCGCCTTGCTCTCTTGCTGTGACTGGTGTCAAAGGTGATGGTATCGTTTTGTTACAGAGGACTCCTCCTCAGGTGATGCTATGTCTTTTCGGATATAGGGACCACTTTTGGACACGTGCTAGGTTTTCTACAACCATTATATTTTCTCTTACTACCTTCGCTTTGCCTCAAGCATGGCTCTCTATTCTCGGTTTGTGGTCGTGCTGCTTTACGGTTGGAGTTATCTGTGCGTTGGATACGGTGCGATGCTGAAAACAGACAGTTTCACAGACAGACGAAAGGTGGATTTTACGCATTCGGTGAATACGAAAGACATCGCGAAAGAAGACCAGGATCTGCTTTTACAGGATACAGTGACGGAGCACATGCAGATGCTTTACGCGAAGTACAACCGGGCTGGATTTCCCTTTAAGGACGGCAACACTGTGCGCAGTTTCAAAGCGCACTGGGGTATGTATCCAGTGTTTTACGCATTTTAAAATACGGGGTTCTTTCTATCTAGGGAGTGCATACATGCATGTGTAATTCTATACATTTCGGGAATGTAAACTGGATCTGGTAACACCTCGTTATGCCCTGTTCTGTTGGATCTATCTGTTCAAGTGTCCCTGGCTTTGTTTTTTATGGAGCGTGTGCGCAATTTAGGTACAGTTTTTAAAAATGCGCATCGATTCGTTTAAGTTGATGAATATTGTCCTAAATTAATTTTCTTATTGACTTAAAAAACAACAAACACTCTTGAAAATGTGTGCCACTTGCTGAGCTGAAACTGACGTACACCTGTTGATCCAGTCATGGAAATGGGATAAACCTGTTACCCCTTTCCTGTGCCAGAAGCAAAGACTCCGTATCAGATCTGTGCGTGCATCTTGCCGACACGATAGTTTCCATACCTAAAGATTTCACTATCAGATAGTGTGGATAGATTCCACCTCCAGCCCGCAGCTGCACAGCCTGTCTGTGTTGCAGCAGACTTGGAAAGAATTCCCAGCAGCGGCCTTGTGCATTTCATGTGCTTTTATTTGCTTCCTCCGTGAGCATCGTTAATCGTATAAGCTCTAGCGTGTTTACATGCTACGCCTGTTATTAGCACTTGGGCATGGGCACTAATAGAGAAGACCAGTTTCCACTCGGGGTCAAAGTTTGTTAGATGATGCTGCCTCCTATCGCCTGATTGCTGCATATCACAGCATATAAAGGGTTAGTTCACCCAAATTATTAATGTTTTGTTCCACTTATCCCTAATGGTATCTAGACATACAGTTAAGTTGGGGTTATAATAACTCTGGAGACAATTTGAAAGTTTTGCCGTCACCTCACTACAGTGGATATTTCAATTATATTTCTTAATGCACTGAAATATTACTTTCTTTCCAGAAGCACTATCTTGCCTGCATGACTGACAGAGTTCTGTTTGTTTTTTGTCTGAAATGTCCCTTTACTTGATTTAAACCAACCACTGGTTCAGGCTGGAAACTTATGTAAATATTTATATATGTTCATACACCTATTTTCCTTTTATTTCATCTTCTTCTTATTTAATCTGTAATGTTATTATTTACTTAATGCAGGGATAGCTATGTTTAGTTTTTGAAATCCTGTACAACTGTGTTGCATTGTGGAAATAATAATACTCACTGTATACACAGGTACTATAAACAAGAAGCAGCTGCAGATTTTCAACCTCACCTCCCTCACCAAGTCAGAAGACATTCTCTCAGCCACTCTTCATTACTACATCGGAGACCTTCAGAACAGCACTCAGGGTTGTTCCATGGCCAAAAGCTGCGACCGCCATGGCCCCCGGAGGCACAGCCACATCCACATAGTTATCTGGAGTTTCGCCTCTGTGGATAACAAGATGAGGACTCTTGGACACTTTCGAGTCAATGTGTCCACCCTGTACAGGGACTTCATATCTTGGCAATGGAAGGATATAACGCGTGTGGTGAGCCAGGCCAAACACCATGATGAGCTGCTGATTGGAATCGATGTAGCTTCACAAGGGCCCCGGCCGTGGAAGGAGCTGCTGTCAGACCGCTCACCCTACATCCTGGTCTATGCCAATGACTCTGCCATAGCAGAACCTGAAAGTGTGGTAGCCACCCTCCAGAGACACCACTCGCTGGTAGGGGAGGGCTCCATTTCACACAGCTTCCATAAACTGGGACTGCGTGAGCGAAATAACACAGAACAACAACGCCTGCAGCCCAGACACAGGCGCTCAGTGAATGTTCTGCTCCCGTTGCAAAACAATGAGCTTCCTGGGCCCGAATATCCATATGAGACAACTACGTGGGACGAGACGAGTCCATATGAACCTTTTGAAAACAAGCAGGCCCGTCGGCCACGTAAAAAGACACGCAAGACTCAGCGGCACAAGATGCCTCTACTGCAGTTTGATGAGCAGATGATTAAAAAGGCACGAAAGAAGCAGTGGAACGAGCCCAAGAACTGTGCACGGAGGTACCTGAAAGTGGACTTTGCAGACATTGGATGGAGTGAATGGATTATATCACCTAAGTCATTTGATGCCTACTACTGCTCAGGGTCTTGTCAGTTCCCTATGCCAAAGGTAAGAGTCAGAGCCTTGTAGTGCACATCTGCAGTGAAACCAAGCTGGTGTCAGGGCCTTCGAGAGGTTTTGTGACAAATTTGAGTGGTTGCATGATAACAGGAAGGCAGTCAAAGCATTAATGCTATGCAAGATTTTTTTCCAGCTTTTTTCTTGGTCACTTCACTGTAATTTTACTTCTTCCGGCCCCTAAACAAGTAGGCGTTGCTTTGCTTTAGGGGTCACAGGTCTGAAGGGATGTGAACCCCTGAGCCACCAGGTTACACTTCAGGCCGTGGCCCAGCACTTCTTGTAACCTGGTTTTGTTTCTTCACTAACATTCAAACTGTGTGCTCTTTTCATGCAATAAAGTATACACTGTGTAAATAGAACAGGCTATGTTGAGCTGTGAGCACATCTGGCCATTAAGCTTTCAGCTTAAGTTGATGTTACAGCTCTGTATTATGTGAGCTTGGATATCATTAACATCAGAAGTCCCTGAAGCCAATCTGTCTTATATTACAGATGATAGTGCCAAAAAACAGGCAGAAATTGATATCATTTGCTTTAATTTTCAACTGCTGAGACATGATGGCAGTGCCAGAAGTTCTCCTTCATCTTCTACAGTACAGGACATCTTAGAAATTAAGATCATCAAGCCTTTGAAGATACAGTATGCATCAGGGCTAAATTTAAATAATTTAACAAACCAGTTTAGTCCAAAGTGGAATCTGATTGATGTAAACATGTGGGAAAAGTGGTCAGACTCTAGGTGATGTCATTTAGATGAAAAATGGTCCTGCTCAGATGCATGACCCCGACATTCAAACCGTGCTCAGGGGAAACAAACAAGGATGCTGAAAGAAGCAACTGAAGTAATCCATGCCATTTTTGAAAATTCTTCTCCAGATGCAGGCGACACACAGGCTTTATAGATCTGACAGATCAATCAAAGAGGTGAGGAACAAAAGCAGCTTGTGTGTCACCTGATGTTAAACCTCAGCTCCCCTTGTAGCTTGTGGCCCCGTGACAAGATAACAGCACCGGTATTTTAAACCTGGCCAGAATGCATGAGTTCCTTCTACTTAATTCATCACCTCGGAGTCGCCAGCATTTGTAGTTGAATGCAATTAGTCCCAGAAGGAGGAGCCAGGGCCCGAGGCAGCCCCCTCCCTGTCCTGCAGGTTTGCTGCTCAGTCTGACAGGCCTGTGATGACCTTTGATGTTGCATCTTCTTTGTCATGCTAAAGCTTTAGAAGCTGCCAAATAGCTCATATTAGTAGGTGCTGTGCTTCGTTTATGGTGCATGCCACCTTTTAGATCCTGCTAAAATATGAAGCAGCTGATCAGTAGTGAACTGGTAGGTGCTGATCTGCCTGCAGCTGCATGATGGATGCACCGAACTCTATTCTGTTCATTGTGTTTTATTATAGGTATACTGATTGATTTTGGCTGCTGTGTTGTTCAAAGGATAAATGCTGTAATAAAACATAAAGAGCTAAAGGATCCTCCAGGCACTCTCTTAACAGAAGAGTCTAGTGTATTGTAACTGATTTTCATAGATTTGACCTTCATTTTATTGGAGCTCACCAAAGCAGTCGCTCAGATAACAACCTCACTACGACAAAAGAGGGATGACTCTTTCTGAATGGTGAATACAGACACCGCCACCTGCTGGTAGGGAGAGTTATTTCTCTCACGCAGGCGCACAACATACATGCTAGTTGGCTGTTGGCTGTAGTCTGTTTGGTGTGTTCAAGTGCCGCTTTTCAATTTGACTGGCCCAGATAAAGACTACATGAAGCGACACAACAGTCGGCCTATGTCACTGCTAGTTCTTTCACATCAGCTTGTTTGTCTCTGCCCTTAGTTACCAGCAAGAATAATGGCCAAAACTATGAAAACAACAAAAGAGTTACTGAATATTATCAAAGAAAAACATTTTGGTAGTGGACTTTTGCTCCTCAGAATTATTGTGCCATATTCTTTCTGGATGAATTTTAAAATGAATTTCTTGATATGGTTGTATAATCCTTTCTGTTCCTTTGCTTCAGGCTCTGAAGCCCTCTAACCATGCCACCATCCAGAGCATAGTGCGGGCAGTGGGCGTCGTCCCAGGAATCCCCGAGCCGTGCTGCGTCCCAGAGAAGATGTCATCCCTCAGCATCCTCTTCTTCGATGACGACAAGAACGTGGTGCTGAAAGTCTACCCAAACATGACTGTAGATTCCTGCGCCTGTAGATAGTTTTTTTTTTAGCCTTCAACACCTCTTTGCATAAAATGTATGTCACACAGATAAAAAACCAAATCAATACATGCAGCCAAGCCTCCTGTTTTTTAGCCATACTCTCACTCAAGTACAAACATACAGTGAACACAGCTTCCCTTTTGCACTGGAGGAGAGTTCTGCCTGTTGTTTGAGGTGAAAAGGCCTGTCTGTTCGCGGGAAGGAGTGGATCGTGTGAGTTTTCCTCGTGGACGGTAACTGGAACAGGAAGTCACATCTCCATGCTCCAGTTTCACCACCGACAACACTGTTGTTCTTTATGTCTTCATTGCTGCTCACCTATCTGTTGGGTCACAGCAGGGTGAATGCAATCACAAACTCACTAGCAAGACACACTATAAAGATACCGACTGAGGCATTAGAGAGACAGAAACTGAAGGAAAAATTACTATTCAGGAAAAATGATTTCAGTTTGAACTGATGCCTCTGAGGGGGGTCGTTCTCATCTTTGTCTCCTTCAGAGCTTGAAATTGTCTGGTCATTACCACAAAGTCACCTCTGCTCGCACTTGCATGTTTTTTGTTACCTTGTGTATGAATTTATGTCTGTACTATCACTGTTACTCACTATATGAGAAGTTATTGTATAATTATTGGCTTGGCTGCTATAGAGAGATATATTAGAGTCTGAAGCCAGAATTGTGACATAGCTGGTAGATCATTTTACATTCATGTTCACTGCTCTAATGTTGTACAGAACCCACATTTTAAGAGTTTATTATATACAGAGGAGTAAGCTACTTTCCATTTGGGGTCTTCGTTAAGAACTGCATAAGGGAGTGTTTGAGGAGATCCCGTTGCTTTGCCAAGAAAAAAGCCTTACAAGTAGAACAAGTGCTGTCATCATGTGTTTATTGTAAGTGCCAAAACCACAGGACTCTGAAAGCCACTCGATGCTTGTGTGGAAAGCCTTGTTGGACCTGATCAGTTCTGAAGAAACCAAATAAATCATGGGACTTGGCAAGCATCAGGGATTAATAGTAGTGATTTTAATGAGCCTGGTATCAGGCATTGTTAAAATTACGTGTTGAATTTACAGCATAGAACAACATTTATGAAGAAAAACGACGATCAACTGTCAGAAATCTGTTTTATCACATCAGTATACACTGCTGGTCTGGAATCAGTTTTGCTTTACATATCCTTAAGGCTCATCCGTTTTGGTTTTTGAGGTTGAGATGGGTTCAAAATCTGCTTTACACCTTGATTTCATGTCCTTAAGCCTCTAAAAGCTATTGTGTTTTTAGCTTCCAGGAAAAAAGTAACCGTGGTTTACAGTGAACGGGTTCCTCTGGTGGCAAGGTGCTTCTGCTTATGTAAAGTGAAGATGGAAATAAAGAAAAAAGCAAACTGCGCTGTGCATTATGTGCCAGCATCCCTCAAAATATTGAAAACAGTTTTCAGAGTTTTTTCAACTGATTTTCATTAAAAAAAAACAAGATGATGAGCAAAACATATATTATATTGAATGATCGGGGAGAACTGATCTTTTGATTCTTTATAAGCCTTTAATATTAATATGACTGTATAGTGCGGATTTTATACGTCGTAAATGGGCTGTGCTATTTGATCACCTGTACTTTGTGTCAGGTTAACATCAGACAACAGGTAACACCTTGAAGAGCAGTTCACGTGGTGAGGCTGCCCCAGGTTGTGCATCAGTGTTCATTTCATCAAACCAAATATTTACCCGGAGAAAATGGACTGAATTCTTTATTTCTATAAACCTGTACATTGATTTTGTATATAGCTCACTCACTTAATGTTGATGACATTTTAATGTCTCTTCGAGATGGACGTGCTTTTGGAGTCGAGGGATTTGATTTATTGAGAGAACTGAGCTCAGTTTGCAGTGAAGCTGAGGTCAAAGCAAAGCGCTGAGAATACCCTATGGTACTGGATAACCTGCCCTGAGTGATCATGGTGCATATTCGATTGATAAGTATGACTGACAGTGTATTTCAAATCATTCACATTTTGATACATTAGAGATATTATGTTGTGTCAGTAGCTAAGGACAGATTGTCTGCCCTTACACATTTTGTACTGATGCCTCCTCTAGTTTCTGCGTCATCATCTTGTGCCAGTACACATTGTAGTAATACATGGTGTAGAAGGGAGTGGCCTCCTCTGGTTGTGCAGAAATGACAGGTGATGATGGGGCCTTAGCGTTTGCTGCATTTGAGACTGAACCTGGGTCTAAACTTCACTAATGTCTTTGGGAGCGTGAGCATCAAAGACACCTATACACAGTTCAGTATAGCAGCAGTTTATAGGAGCTTCCTCTACTTCACTGTTCAGTCCGATCTTGTAAATGTTATGGTGGTAGTAGGTAAAAAAAAAGAAATGCTTGTACAATAAGCTTCACAAAATATATTTGTATATGGAAATGAACTTTAACATGCATCTATTTATTTTCTGTACTTGCATATCTTGTAGAGTTGTGGTCAGGGAGAAGGGGACTAAAGCTCTGACATGTCAATGGTCTCTGTATCTGTGATGGATGTTTATCACTACTGATGTGAGAGAGTGGTGAACTGTTTAAAGGCCTCCTCTCCCTCTGAGTTCTGATCCTCCTCACCAACCATTCAAACAAATGAATAAAACTATGCAAGACTCGGATCTGTCAAAGATTTGTTGGTTTCTAAAAATGAAGGCTTTGAAGGATTGTAGCATAAAACAACACACGCCCGAAGCAAAATATTCCCAATGTATTTCCTTTGTTTCTCCCTTGGTACCATTCTGCATAAAATACAAGATAAATAATTATGAAATTCAATAGCAAAATGTAGAAACATATGTACAGTATAACTATTGGTTTGCTTTCCGCCCCAAAAAGTCAGCTGTTACATTTTATGTACAGGTACAGAACATATTTTGTAGGGTTGCACTAGACACAGGAAGTTTAAAATATGTAATAAAGCATATCATTATAGGATTACTGCATTTTACAAATATTTCTTTTTAAATTATGCTTTTTTAAATTGAGATCCATTTGATGTGTTCCAGAGCTAAAAGTGTTCCGTGAACACGAGGTCTAAAACATTCAAACAAGCTTTGATCAGGTTGGTTACATTTCTGCTGCTGTACGTCTACGTGGAGAGGCAGGGTCTTAGTGCCTCTTTTCTCTTTGGGAAGACATGTCACTCACTGGTATTTTGTCTGATAAGTGCATGTGGTGTCAGGGTAAATGTATAAAGTTGAATGAAGCCTCATTTTAATTATCAGGCAAAGTCCAGGCCTGACATGGCATGGCATGAACCGGTTTAAAAAGACTTCAGTTGAATTCTAATCGAGTTTTAAAAAGTAAAGTAAGCACACAGGTGTTTTTTCTACTTCACTTTGAACAGGTGCTCCAACAATCCGGAAAGAGTTGGTAATGCAGCAACAAGGGCTAGATCCCTCACCGGCTTCCCACCCACAAACGCTGCCAGCTGAGTTAGGTGACTTTTATCCACTGTGCCAGGACGATGCACTGCCAAAAACAACTGTGATGGTTACATTATAAACTTTTAAACTTCACAGTCAAACTCAGATCTGTTTGTTTGTGTTGAAACATCTTAAGTAAACAAAGTAAGCGGCTGACATCAGCTACTGGTTCCCAGAACCTGAGGGCCTCCACTGTGCCTGTCGGGGGTGAGGTAAGGTCACCTGAAAACTCGTTTTGCCTGTGAATTGTTGTTGTTAGGGTGTGCAATAGAAGAAACAAATGGTAAGATGGAGCAGAAGGTCTTAGAAGTCCATGTCCCACCCAGAGAGCTCTTCAGGAGGGCTGTCCTCATCTGGAGGGTAGCTGTCGAAGTAGCTGTGATCTGTTGGTCCTGTGAGCTGTTGGGGAAGAGAAGACGAGGAGAGGTTCACTCCTTAGATACCTCCTGAGTCACTGAACAGTAATGGAACACCATTGTTTGAACACCGGAATTCAAAATAGCCTTTTTTAAGGTAAATTCATAATCATGAGGTAGTTTATGGTGGACTGATGCTGTCTGTGAGGAGCACTAGAAACATTGTTTCCACATGTTTATTGTAAACTCAATAATATGTTAACAGGGCAATACATAAAGCGGTATACCTGTCTGCTCCCAGTTACTGTAAAATGTATAATAGGTCTTTATGCAGCTTTTGGCATGTTGCAGGTAAAAACCATCTCTCTCTGTATTTTTCTTAATTATATTTCCTTTGTACCATAACTTTCAGTTCTACTCATCTGAATGAATATCTATACTTACTTCTCTTTTCAGTGGAGATGGCAAAGTCCTCGCCTTCAGTCCCTCCCAGTTGAAGCCATTAAACCACCTTCAGACATGTTATACAAAGCAGATAAAAACAGGACAGTAACTCTTTACATCTTTCTGTCTGTACGTTTTTTTTTTTTCAGTCAAAGGATTGACAATCCCAGCACGTGTTTAGGCCTGACACCAGTACTTTCCCTGACCAATTAGCACCTCAGATGTTACGGTGTGACTTACTGTCGCAGCCTTTGTGATTGTTTTCCTTAAATGTTCCTGCCTGGCTGAAAGAGTCTCAGTTGGTTTAATGACCTAAGGTCAGTAACACACTAAAAAATCCTTCCAAGATGTAATTAATGACCTTACTGAACTTTGCTATATCTCTCTCCTGGTCTTCATATTGTCTTTATAAAGGAAAATAATCCTAAATAAATTAAGTAAGTACAATAATGTAATATGCTTTATGAATATGTTTCCCACAGTGATCATCTAATTACTGAGGTCATAAACCACCGGTCCACATTCATAATGTTCAATCAGTGCTAATTTGCACAGCTAATCTCGCCCCAGAGATCAGCTGCAGAGCCAGTCAGTTCCTTCTTACCTGTGCCTCTTGATATCCGTTATTCCATTTTTGAGGTTGCCCAGTCGCTCGGAGGGATTTCGCCTAGAAAGTTCACCAGAGTGTAAAGTTACTGACAGTTTTGACCCAAAGAAACTTGTCTTTTCCTGTGATATTACTTGCTTTTTCCAAATACCGGACAGCAATATTTCTGGCACCCTGAACACTCAGAGGCTGAATACTTTTTGACTGGATCACATGGTTAAGCCCCATCTCAGGTGACTGTCAGGTGTTAGCCTAAAGTTAGCCTTCTGATCACCCATCATCAGGTTCTGTCCTGAGTGACTTCGTGGCTGAGTACAAGCAGCGAACGTGGTGAACTGGAGGGTGATTCTGTACCTGCACAGCTTGCGTATGAGGTCCTCAGGTCTCTTGGTGATCTTCTTGGGGAAATCCATCTTCTCAATGCCTTTCAAGATGAAAGTGTACGTCATCATCTGGTCGCTCCCTGAGAACGGAGGACTGTAGGAAGGAGAAAACAGATTCTTCATTTCTTTCAGCCTTTCAGCAGTCCACTCTGTTCATGTCTGAAAACAATAATTACCAAAAATCAGTAAACAGACTGAAGTGATCAGGAGAAGAAGGATGACTATAAGGTGCTCTCACTAAACCTCGCTGCAGACTGGGAGCACAGATGCACTAACCTGCCAGTAAGAAGCTCGAACACCAGGATTCCAAGAGACCAGAAGTCCACACTGAAGTTGTGGCCTTTGTTGAGGATAATCTCAGGGGCCACGTACTCAGGTGTCCCACAGAAAGTCCAGGTCTTTTGGCCACATCTGATCTTTTTGGCAAAACCAAAGTCAACCTGAGGAAACAGAACTGGCCAGTTAACTTTAAGTCTGTAGTGGAGCTTTCCCAAAAAGTGCATGAAGCCACAAACTTCCTAATCATCCAATTTCACAATGCAAATTCTTGACTAAAGTTAGAAATGACAGAGAATGAAATTCTTTATAATGAGGATCTAAGAACAGTTTGGGAAAATGTCCTGGAACTTCTGGCTACAGTCATTTCATGGTTCAAGACAGAATATCCTCACCAGTTTGATGTATCCCTCAGCATCCAGCATGAGGTTCTCCGGCTTCAGGTCTCTGTAGAGGACACCTTTGCGATGGAGGTAGTCGAAAGCCTCTGTGACACAACCGACGCAGAATTTGGCAGTGGGCTCATCAAAACTCCCCCTGCAGACAAGAAACGTCAACTTTTTACTGACAAACAGCATAAGATGCTGCGCTGTTCAGGAGGCAGAGAAGCAGAAGAAGCAGTGTCATTACACTGACACTCCTGAACCCCCTGCAGGCAGCACTGATGGGACAGTTCTTGTTTCTCCCATTACAAAGTCATCTAATAACATTTACCATCACATTTACGCAAGACACCAGCAACAAAATGACAGTGCTGGTGAAACAGTTTCAGTTCTGATGAATGTAGCAGCACCAGTGAGTGGCTGATGCCTCCTACCTGTCTCTGAGCAGACTCCAGACCTCTCCGCCCAGACAGGCCTCCAGCAGCATGTACACATATTTGTTATCCCTGAACGTACGATACAGTCTAGAGCAAGACAAACACAAACGAGTTATGCTTCAGAGTAAATGCTCTGACATTTGCTACTATTAAACCATAAACTGATAAACTACATATATAAAAAAAGCAGCAGCGAGAGGACTAATGATGTTAAACAGATCATAAGCCTATTGCCTGTGGCCCATGACGGTTATTATTGCAGTGGACTGTAATATCAGTAAAGACGTTACTCCACAAAGTAAAGGTACATTTGTGGAGTAATGTGATATGATTTGACCCTTTTCAAGGTGAATTGTTAATAACAGATTGAATATCGGGTTCGAGCTGCTCCACCAACCTGTCACCCTACATGGAAAGCAGATTAGAAATATGAAAAGATAGTAGTTAAAATATTATGAAAAAGGTCAAATAAATACATAGCATGTGTGGAAAAAGAAGTCAGCAAGGAGAAGTGTTTCAGAAGGTGAAGAATGGCTTTAATATCTGAGACAGTTCCACAGCATATGGTGAAAGTGGATCAATGTAATCTCACAAAAGGCCATGAAAAGCTGCTGCTGCAATATTTCAGAAGAAATAACTATGTTTTTCATAGCAGGCATCTCAATATCTCCTTCTATTCTACCCCACTGAGAAGATGTAACCTCGACTGTGATCTCGTCAATAACAAATAAGCCCTGCAACATTTTCCCAGACTAATGGAGCAGGGCTCCATCATGCCGGATAAAAAAAAATGGCGATACAGTATGTGTGGAGGCTGAGCAGGATGACTGACTTGACAACAAAAGGTGAGCGAGCCTCAGCGAGGATCTTCCTCTCTGAGTGGATGTGCTCTTCCTGCCTGTTGTCCACAACGTGCTTCTTCTTGATGACCTTTAGTGCGAAGGTGAAGTCCTTGTCCTTCACCTTCACCTGCAGATGGAAGTAACAACGTGTTCAACAGTTTGGTCAGAGATTCAGGCATGTTATGCTGAAGCGACTTGCAGCCTTGTGTGAAAGTATAGAGATGACAAAAGCTTTGAGCACAAGCCAAATGTCTTCCATGTCTGTTCCAGGCCCAGAACCTTGGAGTAGGCACAGTGACTGGGACATGTAAATGAGATGCAGCCATCATCAATGCCATTGGTTACATCTGTGTTTTTCCTGCTTTGACAGGTCGCAATCAATGTTTGCAAAAAATATCTTGTGCTCTTTTACTTGTGGAATTATTTCTAAAACATAGTCTTTGAGATGCCTTTGCACTGACACACAAAGAACCATTTTCTTCAGAACCAAATTCGCTTAAAGGCTAAAATAACATAGTAAAAGCTAACTAACCAATTTACTTTGTTAGGTGGAACAGAAAGGTCTGCCAGGCTAACTAGCTAACTGAGACAAACCAGTTAGCTACATTGCTTTTTGATACTAATGATCGTTACTTAACTGCTTTATTTGTTTTGGTTTTCAGAATATACACAGGCAAATTGCCTGTGTATATTCAGTTGTCTTCTTATAACAATTAATGTTTTATTGACTAATCGATAATAAGCCCTAGTTTCAGGTCTTACCAACTCCACTCGTCCAAAGCCACCAACCCCGAGAGTAGCGATGACCTCCAGGTGATCAAAAGGCCTGGATGCAGGGAACACTGACATCATGTCCTTCAGCTGGAGGACATCAGGGGACAGCGGCTGACTCTGGTGGCGTGACACCGATTTCCTGGGCAGAGACACACACACAAAAAGGGCCCTCTACATTTCATCCAACCCCTGAAAAGAATTGAATTCAAAGTACAAGAAGGCCAGGTGTGTTATGGTTGTTTTCACTCTGAACACTCTCACAGTGAAATGAAGCAGAACTCCCACCTGCTTACATCATACAAGAAATGCTCAAAGGCCGTTTACTGATACTGACAGGAATCCAATCATTTTGTCCATGTTATTCTGCCAGCACCATTTATCAGCTTGTTCTCTTAACATTAGTTTTATTATGTGACACATATGGTTCTTTAAAGAGCTTTTTGCTCATGTTTCTGGCCTCTGTACCTACTTGGCATGTCTCTTCTTGTCGTCCCGATCAAGCGTTGCCACGTAGCCTTGGAGATACTTCTGCAGCTCGCTGAAGGTGCCCACCGTCTGATCAAATGTCCTAGAAAAACAACATCTGCACCTCAGCCACTGGATTGTTGGCTGGTAGGCTTCATAACCTCAACTCAAATTTTAATGAGTGATGAGCGAGGAGAGAAAGTTGACACCAGCTGACAGATAGGAAGGAGGAAAGGCCGCATCGTGCTGTGCAGTTAGACTGCTGGGCAACGGGACAACAGAACGATCATCTAGGGAACAAAACGTTGTGTATAGAAAGACTCAGCTGTCCGATCACTCACTCTCTGTCAATGACGAGGCACTCCACCCCGTTGTCATCAGCGATGATGTTGGCTGACCTGACATCGTCGCTGAAAGACAGAGAAACATGCATCATACACATTTTCTGCCTCCAGAAAGTGCTGATGGTTTCAGCTGTTTCCTCTGAAGAAATCAGGTTTAACATTCTGCATCCTTAAAATGTGTTTCACTACAGCTGTAAACAAGGCAAGGATAATACAACCAAGACGATTAATTAACCTGTAATAACTGACAGGGTAAGATTACAGATTAGATGCAATGAGACTACATCACCAGAGGATTTTTGTAGCCCTGCTCCTCCCTTTCATTGTTTTCACTAAGGACAGCAGGCCCTGCATTGTTTTCATGTCCATCCTTAACCTTTATATCAACAGTTGAACTTGAATTAAACAAGTAATGTGATTGGACTCCTCCTCTGCCATATTTATCACAGTAAGTGTTTTTATGTAGGTTCCTGTGTGGTTCTGGATATGAAACCCTCCGTGACTGACTTGCGGTCTCAGGCAGCAGAACTGACTTCACATGACTTGGCTATTAGAGCAGGAGAGGAGGAAGGAAGAGGGAGGAGGAGAGCAGACCACGGTGCCGTCTGATGTGGTATCTGATGTTTGTTTTTACCTGATGAGTGCTTTCTCTCCGAAGTAGTCTCCCTTCTGCAGCGTGTTGATGACCTGAGGCGTCCTGTGAGCGTCGCTGGTCTGGGTCACCTTCACCTGCACAGCACAGTTAGCTGGATCTGTTCACTGCTTCACGCTGCTGTCTCCACTTCGCTGCTGTAGCTTTTACAGGTGTTTTCAGTTTTCTCCAAATATTTTTACATGCATTGCAAGAAGTTCAAATTCTATGAAATTAAAATAATTGATGCGTTCAATTATAGTAATTGGAACACGATGGGCTCTGAGTGATGATGTGGCGCTGATGCACTTTATATTTTCTTGACATGCTGTCAAAATAGACAGATTAATAGTAAAAGGGTTTTAATTAGCCGCCTGTTTGTTGTGCTTGTCATTCATCAAACTGCTGCCTTTCAACAAAAACATTCCAGCAGCCTGGATGTTGTGAAACCCCTCCAGAATTTGTGGTGCTTTAAAAAGCAGTGACCCACCCTGGTCAAGGTCAAACATCCGACTTGTGGCACTGTCCTGCAAGAAATGCCAGTGGCATCACAACCATCAGGGCCAGGGAGTGTTTTAGCTGTGTGACCTGTGCTTCCTCTCTTTTTGCTGGTGGCAGGGGCTCTCAGAGTTCATTCCCTCCTTGGTCATCAGGATGCACAAGGGGGAACTCCACCCCTCCCAGATAACATGTGCATTGCTTTGGTTTGGTTAGCTTAGCACTGAGGAGCTGCTATTTCACACGAGCTCATAATGACATTTTGAAAGTCCCCCGTGGACGCCACTGGCCCCCTCCGTCTGCCCCTGCTCCGGGTGTCAGGTTACTGACTTATCAGAGAGTGGGTAGTCATAGTCCCATGACTCCCAGCTTATACAGAGTCTGACCACTGTACTGTCCAGTCTGAGCACTGACTAAGGCTGGTTGTTACTGAATGAGAATACATTTATTTCTTGTGTCTTAACTTGTCTTGCAACCCTGGGGTCGGGTATGCAGCGATGTCCACGGTGCCTTAAACATCTAATCGGGGTTTATTTTGTTGTTGTTTGGACAGAACTGTGGCCTGTGGCTCTGGCCCTGTGGCCCAATATTTGTCACTAGAATCTGAAAGTGCCTCTTAAATCTCTGCAGTGCAGCTTATATAGAACGTACTTTTATAGCTTATTGGAATAATGGCAAAATCTATTAAAAATATGCTGAATTGGTCTTTATGCGTTGGATATTGAAAGGTTATGCTGACTGTCCACATGGTGGAGTGTCATCCTGTCTACACCTGTTTTTGAATAGAACAGAATAGAAAACCTTTACTGTCATTGCACAGTAATGAAATTTGCTTTGCATCCCCTGATACACTAGGAGATACAATAAATGAGGTATAAAATACAATAATAAATACAATCAACAAGGGTTCCCTGGTAGACTAGTGGTTAGGGCGCAGTGCTCTCGCTGCTATGGCCAGGGTCTGAGACAGGAAGGGCATCCAGCGTAAAACACATGCCAAATGTCAACATGTCACACTGACAATTCGCTGTGTCAACCCTTAAGGGGGGAAAAGCTGAAAATGACATTCAAATACAATTGATAAATAGTAGAATTATTATTTTTTTATCAATAGTTCTTCATTTAAAGGCAGTTATATATTTGGTAAATAAATGGTGGAGGTCAGGCCTCATTTATAAACTGCTAACCTGGAAACTATCAAATGTATTTAAGTTTCAGTGTTAGAAAAAAGGCAAACAGTTATTGATACTTTTGACATAAAAAATAAATATCTGTGCAAAGTATTAGCTAAGTATTTGTTTTGTATTGGTAATTATCTGAATAAAGATAAAGCAAAGATAAAGTTTTTGACTTAAGGTTGGTTAATTATGGATTTTTTTCACTTCAGGGTCTAGGCTCAAAGTTCAAATCAGTAAAGAGTGAGAGTTTGTGCTGCGTGTTGAACCCATGAGACACGTTACCTTTCCCTGTGCGATGATGTAGAAGGTGCTGCCCTCCTCTCCCTGCCAGATGATGTACTCTCCTTTGTCATAGTATTCCTAAAGGGGAGGGTGAGAGGGGTGGGGGAGACAACCGTCAGAACTGAAGCATTGCATTGATTTCAGTATCGACCTGGCTGGTCTGATTCTTGGTAGCTGATCCCCTGTGGGAGCTGAGTTTAGCATCAGTGATCCTCTGTTGTTCAGAGCTGCTGTGTGTGTGTGTGTTTGTGCACTCACACTTGGGAGTGCGGATGAGTGAATGGGCAAACGGTGTGAAAGCGCTTTGAGCATGCTGCATATAGAGGGGCGATATAGGTATAAGAGCATTTACAAGGTGATGTTAAACTGAAGCACCAGGTTAACATGCTGCTATAACTTCCAGCAGATTAAATGCACTAATTTAGAAAGGTTAGCATTTTCCTCTTGTCCTTGAGGGGCCTGCCAGTCAATCAGAAACAAGTTGTTCCTGTGGCTAAAACTGACACTGAATATTCACACTCGGTAAGAAGGTCAGTCATTTGCACAGTGACACTCTCCAGTTGGTGCAAAGGAAAAATTCACACTTGACTGAGAACGTTTGCTTCAGTGTTTGGTTCAGTTCATCATAAAAGTGAATGACGCTGAAATATTCCTGAATGAAACACTGAGGCCCAGTATGTTCTCTCAGCTGGCTGAGCTCTCGTTCAGCCTCAGTCACCCTCTGTCTAAACCGTCCCAACCACAGCGCTACAGCCAGGCTGCTGAGTCAGCCAGCTGCCAGATCGCCTTCCATCTCAAAACCTTTAGGTGAAGAAGTGCAAAGAGTGAAGGTGACCAGGATGAAATGCCCTCTGGGACGCATGCCAAATTCTCACAGCTGAGACAACCGTCCACGGCTGTAATCCGTTTGACTCTAGAAGCCTATGGCGAAAAGTGAACAAACAAATCACAGCAGCCATGCGTAAACAATCCCTGGTGTTTACTGTCAAAACTCTTGACACAAGTGGCATTTTCCTTGAGCGTCCAAGTTTGTTTACATCCCGTTTACGCTTCAGGAGAGCCTAGTTTAACACTCGTCCTTGACAGCGGAGACAACATGCCAAGCCTTTGTTTATGGAGACTGTCTGGCTGATACAGTGATTGTGCAGGGGAGCGACAGCATTCGAACTGCGCCTCTGGTCGTTATACCAGGCTGCGAGCTTCAATCCTGAGCTTGAGCCAAACATTTACCTTTTCAGGCAAGAAAGAAAAGCTTTAAAACATGTCTTCATAAAAAACTTCAAGCACCCTGAGTCCCACCAATCACATACATCCCCTTCTGCCTTTAGACAGGGACACTTGTGCTGGGCTGGGCTGTAGTCGTCCTGCTTTCACCAGCTGTCAATTGACAGGTCACAGCACGCACTCAAACTGCACATCTCTCTGCCTCTGGTGGCAGACACACTAAAACAAGATGAATGATTGAACCAAAGTCTGCAGCCATCCCCAGGGGAACGGGTTCTCCTGTGCAGCTCAGTGAAAGCATCATGCTGCCTTCAAGGACCTGGTGGAATATCAGTCACCGCATGAACAAGCATGCATGAATGGTTCAGAAAGTGGCCAAATGTTACAGTGACAGTTACTGTCAAGATTCCCAAAATTGACAAAGAGTGAAGAAACTCTGTGAACAACTGGTTTTGAGTCACGTGTAGTCGAGTGTGAAAACATGATCTGCATTTCTGTACATTTGTTTACACTCAAAACCATACAAATAATAGAGTTAATTGTTTGTACACAATCTTAAAGAAATAGTTCAACAGAAGCTTCCATGACCAGTAACTTCATGGAGTCTCTACTGGTTTCCTGCACAAAGTAGAACTGGGAATTTTTGTTTTTAAACTTGAGTTCTTGTTAATATTAAAGAAATAAGCTATATATAAGCTGTTACTCAGTGAGATGAAGTGGGTTTTGTTTCCCTGCATCTGAACCAGCCCAGCTATTTCCACCTGGTTCCAGACTTTGTGCTGAGGTACAGTCAGTTAATGGGCTGCGAGCTGTAGCAATATACATTTCAAAATGTCAAACATTACTCTCAAATGATCCACGTTAACATTCTTGTGACCTCTTGCGGTCATGCAGATAATGACGGCTCTTGATAAATAAATGCTGAGGTAGTGTGAGTTATGTTTTGTGGTTACGTTTCTGACGTAGACACTCGAGACTGTGGTTCCCTCCTCTATCACGGTTAAATCTGGCTTTACATGACAGTCCTTCCCAAACTTAGCTAAGTAGTTTTAGTTGCCTAAACTTAACCAAACCTGTCACATGTAAAAACACTTGTGTGGTGCAGTGTTCTACTGTACTTTCTTGTTTATCACAATGTCTTTTCCCTATCAGGAGGAATCAAGCTTTGGTTGGTGGAGCTCTTCCTCCATCTTATAAAATCCCTTTCTAATGCATTTCTGATGTAAATTTATGGAGACAAAATCCTCGTTCTGCATTTCAAAGTTAATCCAAAGTTAATATGAGGCTTCAGCAGCCACAGTTAACAGGCATCTTTTTAAATTCCCTCTTTCTGTTATTATCCTTTCTCCATAGCTCAGCCCAGAATCACTGGCTGGGGAAAAGCAAAGAAGGAATTTCTTATGAAGCAGACTGCAACTTTGGAAGACAACTGTATTAATTCAGCCACCTCAGATAAACTCATGCTTTATGTTTTGCCTGGATCAAGGGCTGATTTTTATTCCCTGACATTTGGAAGCACCAAAAGCGATCGTTTAATGTAAGATTGATCTTAGCAGCTAAACCTGTTTCAATGTGTATGTCAGCATGCGAGCACTGTTTTAAAGCAGACTTGAAAAAAGGTGAATGTTTCCTTTTATGTCCTTTCAGGCAGTGACAAGGAGCTCCCTAAATGATCCAGCTGTTTCCCAGCAGTCTTGGAGATACATCATTTTCAGAGTTTGAATATCTGCTCTGGACCAGGACAGAGCATGTATGATATCAGTGGGAAAAGGCTCTGCCCTGTTTGGCTATGTGATGCGATTACAATAGGTGGATAACATCAACCAGTAGCACAACACCATCCACTCACTGTCTGTATCCTCCTTTAATGTCATTACTCAGGTTGCCATCTGTCACAGTGGCACACTAGAGCAGATAGCATCTTGCTCTCACAGCCTGTAGCTCTGACATCTTCTTAATTTTAGCAACCCGTGCACTTACAGCAGAGCTGGGTATCGACTGATACTTATGTAAGGGTGACCGTGAGTGTATCTGCCTTTTCTAATGCAATGAAAATCTCATTAATGTCAAGTTATTCCCCCTCCTGAGACCAGCATTTCTTATAACCAGGTTGGCAGATCAACACTTCTTTTTATTAATGGCAGATAAAGCTGAAAGAAAAGAGGGTCACAAAATAGCAAGCTAATCTTGCTAAAAGCAATTTTAAGCATCCTAAGTTGTTGGCTGAGCTAAGCTTCTGTTCATCTGTAAGTTCTGTTTGCCAGCGCTAGGCTGCAGCTCTTTGGGCAGGCTGGGCTGTTTGTGTGATGGCATTACTGCATGTCAGGATCAGGAGTGAAAGAAAACATTGTTAAGATTCAGCAAGTTCAGTTATTTTAATTTCTATTCTGTTTTTACTTTCAGAGAACCAGGGCTCATTTTCACCACCAAAGCTTTCCAGGTCAAATTCTACACTGCAGCTCAGACTGAGAACCTGACAGGGAAAAACAAGGTACTCAGGACTGCCCACACACACTCATACACGTACATGGAAGACACCGCAAATCCCCCCCAACCATTTGACAAGAAGCCTCAATATTACCTGGCGGACATCTGCACCACTATTAGGTTTCAGCCCCCCCACCCCCACCCAAGGTGCAACAGAGTCTGCTCCATCAGCAACGACTGAATGAGGGAAGTCTCTTGTAGTGGAGAGTAGCAGGACGAGCAGTGATTACGTTGAACGTCCTTGAAGCTTTCACTATGAAAACACGCTGAGAGCGGCTGTTTCTGACTCGAAGCTGACGAGCTCCGTTTTCTCTTTCGCTGTTGAAATACAACGTTTGTGGACCAAGTCATTTCTCTGCACGTTTGAACATACACACATTCACTTTTACACATTTTTATGGTTCTCACACCAAAAGTCTGTCACTCTTACATCTTTAAGAAATCACTCGCCCCCGGTTTAAATAAACACTTTCTGGGGCCTTGGTCAAATAATTATGGTAACAATATACAGCGCCCAGCGATGACAGGAATAATATCAGCTCTGTTCATCAGCTAGGTAATTTGTGAGGTCTTGCCGACTGGAGGTAGAAGGAATATGCTGACACGCAGTAATGGTATATAGCACAAATGGTAATGATATTTTGACAGCAGCTATCTGCAATGCTGAGGCTCCCATGAGCTGCCAGATGGTTGTGCAACACTGTGGCAATACAATGAAAAGTCAGCTTGTCACTCCAGTAGAAATATAGATAGTCTGACAGAATAACTTACCACCTCAAGGCAGTCCACTATTTTGCTTAGTTTGTCCTCTGGTAGACTAGCCAAGAGAGAAACACTGAGAGGAAAGACAAAAACACAGGTGCCGAACATTAATTTCTGCAAGTATAATACAAATTCTTACATGCACAGTAATGACAGGGGGCTTTCATGCAGCAGTTTAAAACAGTGTCATTTACAAAACTGTTTATTAAATTAAAATTACATGACCTTGACTTGGATCATATGATCCAGATCATTTTTAATGATAGTGTACACATTAATAAAGCTTCAAGCAGAGGCCTGTGCAGGACTGCTCTCACGATCCTGCTTCCATTTTTAGCATCTTTTAGGTCACTGTTTTTGTTCTCAGCCAACAAGCTCACTCTCTGACAGGGCGGCTACGCTGCCCGCTCAGCACAAAACAGCAGAGAGCCAAGGTAAATCACCAGCCAATGGGAAAGTGGAACATCTACATAGCAGCTAAAGATTAATACATATGTTTTTCAGGAGGTGGTAGAGATGATCCAAACCAGACCAAGGCTGAAAGGACAGTGAATATTGGACACATGGTGCTCTGTGTCTGCTAGATTTATCTGCCTGATTGCTAACAAGTTAGCAATGACAACTTATTAAACAATGGTCAATCACCTATTTGTAGCTATGAACTTGTTTTGGAAACTTTCCTCCCCCTAGTGGTTCAGAATTACTCGATGCAGCTTTAAAAGCAGGTGCAGTTGTCTCCTTGCTGTGGTGAGAAAATGAACTAGTTTATGCAGTAGATGAAAATGAATTAAAATTTAACAAGCCACTTTAAGATACACCTTATCTTTGTTATTGTGCTTTTACTTGAGCTGTTATTTGTTTTTGGGCTGTTTGGCCAGGGATCAGGATTTTGACCTACAGTATTTACCTATATATGACCAGTCAGAGAGATTTGTCCAGTGATGAGCTGCCAAATTGATCACTCCCTTTTTTAGAATGTGGCTATCAGCTGGTGGTCATATTTCTACCATGTCTCCTAAAAAATACTTGTTCCTAATTGGCTAACAGGTGTCTGTAATAATCATATGTCATAGATCAAATCTGAGGAAAACAACAAAAGACAACACTTTGTTAGGTCACTCTTTTGCTTCTGTCTTACTAATTATTTTATTATATCAGGAAATTTTGTTACAGGATATCACTTACAAGAATTCTAACAGTAAGGTGATGCTTGTGTATTGGCAACAGCCTGGGGTCTAACCTTCGGAGGAAGTTGCGATACTGTTCGTGCCGCATCTCAGCCGTCCTCCTCGTGATGTTCTGGAACACCTCCCGGTCCAAAGCCCATGTGCGCACTTTGTTCACTGCTGTAAAAGCAACATCACATCCATTAGTTAGTGCAGCACAGTCCAGGCTCTGATTTTGAACTGAAAAAACTACTTAACCTGAGCCACTGGTTAGTAAATACTAAAGGGACCGCAGCTGTTTTCGGTAGCAGAGTGACCAGGAAAATGTAAGCGCCGTGAAAGAATGGCAAGTTAAAACAGAAATATTAACATTTTCTTTTCTGCCGTCCAAGTTTCTCATTTAGTCAAAGTGCTCTATCTCTACAAAGAAAGAACATATTCATTTGTTTTGCCAAATTTGCAAAGAAGACCAGAAAAACATTGTAGTCTGTCATCCGCCTTGCTGGTGAGTCAGTCCAGTCGACAGGAACTCTGAGACAGGCTTCTGTTGGTACAAGATGGAAGTAGCTGTGAAAATCTGACATGAACCGGTAGCACAGAGAGTTCACCTTTATCCACTTAATCTGTTATCATGTAAAACCCACTTGGAGACTTGTTTTTTTCTGAATATCGAGGTCAACTCAGTCTCCTTTCCCCAAGGGCCCAAGTCAATTGTTTGGCTAAATATACAAACCTGAAAAAGAGCTCTCACATAGTACATGGTATGCACTTTCCAAATACCACGGAGGTGAAAAGCAATCAGAATACAAAGCTGAGGATTTCATGTGAGGCCTTTGTCAACACATCCATGCAAAATCTTGTTTGCTCGAGTCTAATGACCTGTCTGATTCCTCTGTTTTAAGAAGTCACTGTGACTCAGACGAAGGTCAGAGAAGTGTCAGATTACACTGAGGAGTCAGGAGGATGTTTACTCTGTGAGGGTATATAAGAGAGCATGATGTTTAAGTGTACTTGACATGTGAAACACTAGTCACAGTGGACACTAACATAACAAAACGTGACTGCTTTAGCATCTTTTAACTTCAGCCACAGTCAGAATTAAACTTAACGTGAAATGTAGCAAATGCATTTTACCCTCATAAACAAAGTAATCGGCTTTTTTAAGTCACCAAAACATAAATGGAATATATACTGTATATGCTTGTATATTATTGTCACTAATTTTCTCACCAGTAGAAAATGCTAATACAAGTGTAATGATCCTTCACTGGCTTCTCACGCACAAACACGACCAACTACATTTGTCAAAACATGCAGCAAAGGCAGAGTCTCTTTAAAATAATCGGCACTGCTGTTCATCTTTCCTCTTGACCTGTTTGACAAGAGTTTAAATCCTTGTCGGTTTCTTACCAAGTTTCCAGAAACAGCGTTCAACTGTGAGGCAACATTTGTAGCTGCTGCAGTCATTTGACTTCAGACTTCAAGTGGCACAAACGGATCTTTTCATGCACAATCATTTTAAAAAAAGGCAACTGTGACTTGTATAAATGCATTTTTCTGAGCATCACAAAGGCTTCACAATATTCTTTTATATTATTACAGTGTTGGCTATTAGGTTACAATGACAGAGCAGTAAATCATCTTGGTGGCCTGTGTGTTGGGAGCCACTGAATGTGAAACACAAGAGCCTGAAAAACCTCTGTTTGTCTGGTGAGAAAACACAGTATCCACGGTTACCCAGCTTCCTCTCCGGCGGAGGAGAATAACTGATACACATGATTCACAGTGTTTTGACATTCCTCGGTGCTTTCCTGCTACCTGGCACCACTGGCCATGTGTAACCTCACTGCAGACTTTTGATTTGGGACACCATGTGAGTGGTCAGGGAGGAGCACACGGCCACAGGCTCAATCCCTGCAGCACTCAGTCTGACCATAATCACACCTCATGGACGCACTGACCCTCCACTCAGTTATGATCACTCAGCCTGGATAACTGCATCGGCATAATGACGCAAATTCATAACTACAGTCTGGCCAAGAGAACCTGACCTCTGACCTCTGAGCCAGTTCTAAACGATTTAAAAATCTTTACCTCGCACTGATGCCGTCCGTGTGCAGTTGTACAGAATGGCCAACTCCCCAAACGTGGTCCACACCGCGATCGATGTGAGCAGTTTGTTGTTTTGAAATACATCCAGCTTCCCGTCTGTGAATATCAAACAGGGACAATCAATGCATTTTTTTAACCCCACATTTAGGACATGGACAAAAAAAACACATGCTAGAGTCAAAATGTAGTGGTTTTTAAATTTCATTCAATTCATTTAAAGCCAGACAGGACAACACTGGTCCTCTGGCTAGAACATCCCGTGCTTTTCATGATTTCACCAGCTGGTAAATACAGTGTGGAGACAGCCTCTAAAAATACCTGCAGACAAGCAGGTGTGTGGAACTTGTAGCAAAACTCTGAAGAAATAAGTACATACAGATGTGCAGGTTGTATTTTTACAGATTTAAAATGTAAATTCTGGTGTGTATTACAAAGATATAATTCCTCTTCCCTGCTAAAATGTATGCTATTGTTTTTAATAAAGAAAGGAAAAAATACTGTACCTTTCCTAAACTGCTAAATCCTTTATAAAAAACAAGAAAGCAAACAAAACATTTCTTCTTCTTCTCCTCCTTCCTACCATCTGTGCCCATAAGATGTATTTTTAGGATTCTGGTTCATCTGTGACCCTGACAAAAAATAATGTGCAGCGCAAATTATGACTTAGATCACAGACTTCATTAATGAGATTACAACCACTGGCTCCTAACATCTGCATCATTATTTCGAGAGCTTTCATTAATAATGAATAATCATAAATCATGAACAGTTTTACTGCCATTGTAATTATTCACATCACAAAACCTGAAGCTGTGCTGGGTTCAGTTAGGTGGTGGAACGTGTTATAAAGTCACTGCTCTTTCTCAAACAAACCCAAATTCTGTTTTATGTCTTAACACAGTTAGTTTAAAACAAGTAACATAGTTTCTGACTGATTTGGTCATATCTGGACACATCTGATTACACTGACTCTTTCTGTCCCGGGTGAGAAGCCACAGAACAACTCCTAGGACATTTTCTCTGTGAACAGCGACTTTCAGCACCAACCACACCGGTGGCCATCCAGTGAAGTGTGGGTCACACCAGCTGCGGTAGATGAAAAACATTAGCTGTTAAGTTTCCTATGTCAATTAAAAAAAGACAACTAACCTATCATAAATTTTTAAAAAGAAGTAAATGAATAACAAGGTATATTCATGAAAACACAAAAAGCAGGACTGTGGTGCTTTTCACTGTCTGAGTGACCGTGTCCAAACTTAAGTTCTTGACTCTCCTGCCAAACGGTAAACCAGAGGAATTTATACATTTCATACCCACCAAGAACTCTTTTCACAGACCTAAATAATAATGTCCAATTTTTAGAGAACAGCATTAGACTAGTTAACCTTCTAGTACAAAGATGTCACTCATCTGTGTGACTAGTAGAACCAGTCAACCAGTGGCAGAGCTGTTGTTTCGCTTCAACTCGATCGGCTGCGGAGAGAGCACGCCCCCCAGCCACTAATGTCTGAGTGTACACTAAAAATAACAATCCCAGAATACTTCAGGTCAGTGCGGAGGGTGGCGTCGACTTTCTTTTCTGCCAATTTCAGATGTTTCCTGTTAATTTCAGACCCTGAAGCCCTGTAGTCAGCTCTCATACTTTTACCATAACCTCTTGGTAATTAATATCACTCAGTAATCGGTTGCTTACAATGTAGGTAGATGTACTGTATATGTAATAAAGAGACTAAAAATAAATCCTTAACTTCACTCACAGTTTCCCTCTATTTCTTTAGTGAACTGATATAAACCAAAGGTCTGGTTGTAAGAATACATGCAAAACTGTGTTTTAATGGACTGTGCTCATATAGCACTTCTCTACCGTAACTGCAAACGCTTCAAAAAGAATCGTGTTTTCAAACTCTTAACATAGTCATCGGTCTCATACTTCCACCTAGAAAGACAGAAAAAGACAAACAACCCTCTTTTTCAACACATTGGATCAAATCCTAAGATCAAACCTGCTGTCATTTGACTGTGACATACTGTATATATAAAACTACATTAGCTCCGTTTGCTGGCTCAGTGACTTGTATAGTTTTATAGATTTCCATCCACATTGCACCTACTGTAATCTTCTCCCTGCCAGACATCGTGGATAAAATAGGTTGTGTGACTACAGTGACGTCACCACAGGCCAAACTCATGACCTGCACATAAGATTTGGGTTTGTAAATGCTCTAGCGCCGCACAGAAAGAGATTCCTGCTTTGCTTGAGGCAAAGTGAACAATCGTGATGTAGCAGCACTGGACTTCTTGTACCTCCACAGATTTTTCCACTTTTCATTTTCACACATCTACATCACGGCTTCTTTTCCTGCTCTCATTTCTTCTTTTTTAAGCGAACACCAGGTAACCATGGCTACGGTCAAACCTCACGCTGAAGTGACTCAAATCTGATTCTTTGTCCCCCCCAAAGTGACTCAGATCTTTTCATAGATGTGTGAACCAACCAAATCAGATGTTCTCAGATCAGATCTGGCCACTTCCATTAGTGCTCCTAGATCTGATTCATTTGTTTTTTAAAGTCTCCCACTTCCGCCTGTCCTCATCATTCAGTGTCGGCGCCTCCCACACCGATTCAAACTAAGCATAAAGAAAAGCAACAACAGCGACAGGGGTCGGCAGAGAGATGAGGATGTTATACTTTTGTTGAACGTTTATGCAGAAGCTTCTGATCAAGCCAAGCTGGAAGGAACCAATGGTAACTGAGCGGTTTTCAAGGGAATTGCGCAATTTACCATCACACAAATGACATTGTTGTTTTTGTGTGCATGTGAAGACTCATGTTTCAGTTACAGTTAGACATGCGCATGTGTGGCAGCAGTGTTAGCACCAGAGCCAGGTACAGGTCACTCACACAGATGAATATGACCCATGAACAGAAAAAGATCAGATCTGACAAAAAGAAATGAGCACCCAGACCTAAAATGTCAACATAGTGCAAGTGACTTCTCACTGATGGGGAGCGGGTTCTCATGTGGAATATGAACCGCAAACCATGATTTCTATGTGAAAAGTAAAGAGGAAGGATCTAGATATGATTGAAAGTGAGAAAACTGCATTTGCATTCTTAGAGCACAGTTAACAGAGAAGCGATGAGTAAATGGGGGAAATGTAAGCCGTGCTTTGAGCCTGATGGCATTCATCATTTACCAGGATTTTTACATATTGTGTTTGTTTTGTCCCATCAGAACTCCGCCCTTCAGTCAGAGGGAAGGGGCTTATCAGCGAAATCACCTGCTGATGCTTGACGGCACATGCTTGGCCACTTCCTGCTTTACAGCATCACATGTTGATTCTGCTTCTTATTGGACTGTGTGTGTGTGTCATGTGACATTTGACATGTGTTTGTGCAAAGACTAGTCTCCAGTGATCTCAGGAGAATCAGCCGCTGCAGACGATGAACATCAAAAATTCACCTCCAGGCTGAGAAGATGCGTGGAGGAGTGGCCCTACCTGCCAGGACAAACAGGTAGTTCCCAGGCTCCCCCTGCTTGATGACGTACTCTCCCTGCTGGTAGGTGCGCTCGTACATGCACTCCACCATGTCTTTGATCTGCTGCAGCTCCAGCCTCTTCAGGTACTGGTTCTTGTTCATTGCGTCTGTCAGCAGCTTCTTCACACTGTCACAGATAACCAGGTTAGAAATGTGACTTATCTTATTTTCAAAGTAGGTTTTTGATTGTTGTTGGGGGTTTAGCTGTTTATGATTATCACTGGACAGCGCAGGAGGAATTGCAGGGCTGCCATTTTGTTTGTCCCAGGTTTTTGCTATAGATTTCTTTTGGGGCCTTGAGTGTGTTTTTGTCAGCATAGGCAAAAGAACAGATGTTTGGGGAGGTGAAACCTCAGGGTATTGCAGGCTGAGGTGGACATGGCTTAGCGTGTTTACTTCAGCACTGTACTTGGTGTTAAGGTACTGGAGCTTTAGTGTTTGCAGCTGGTTAAAGATGGTTTATCTGCAGCTCTAGTTACTTGTGACTTTACAGATTCAGATTTTGAATGACAGTAGCAGCTTTGTCCTTCGCCCTCCCCTCTAAAGCTCAAACAATTAGTCAAGTAGTTGATCGATAGAAGATAATGGGCAATGATTCTGATAATCAGCTGTACCAAAATCTTTTCTGGTTCCAGATTTTTACCTGAAAATGCCTTTCAAAACCTTCCTACATTTTATCTTTTTTGCTTCTTTTATTCTTCCTTCCCTCTGTCCTTATCTATTAATGTCCATTTTTCCTTCCTTCCTCTCCTATTTCCTTTCAGATTCTTTCTTATATCATATTTTACATATTTTTATCTCAATAATGTTTTAGTGGAAGGCACTTGGTGGCAATATTGGTAATATTCTTAGTTGTGATAGCAGTTTGATTTCCTGTGGTTCCATTTGCTTAAGAAAAGGGCAGTCGTCAGTGCTTGTCAGACAGCTGATTGCAGCTACAGTACGTGGTGTGTCGCTGAGCCACTGGGACGCCCACATCCACATTTTTAGATTGCATGATAAATATTTTGTCTTCTGTGAAATGATGACTGTTCGCAGCGTCTGAGCTCCTTCCCATGATGAATCCATGAAAACATAAGATCATTGTGAGCTATCAGAGTTTGCTGTTTTGCATTTAACCGCTGCAGCGAGGGGCTGTAAACTGAAAAGGTTAAGAGCTCTGACTGAAAGCCAACTATAGCTCATGAGACCCGGACGCTGCTCAGAGAAGCGAGCGATGCAGGTAATGGGTGGTCTGTTTGTCCACCTTATCACGTATAATAAATCAGCTGTTTTGGCTTCATGAAACGAGCAGATGGCATTTTTTCCAGCCCACTTCCTTTCCTCCCACCTAGCTACAGTATGTCATTTCTCTGCCACATATTACTCTGTCATTCACACAGGACAAGGGTTCTGTTTCAGTCTGCAGGGAGCTACCGGGGGCCTCATTGACATTAGTCTTGGTTATACAATTATTAGCGATGCACGTTTAAAACATGCACATTAGATTGAGAGGGAGACTGCATGCTGACCTTGATTCACTGTAGAGTGCTATACTCGCATTGTACAGTCTGAAGAACACTTAACTGTCACAAAAAGCAGAGTGGCTTTCATGTTGGAAACCAACAGGACTTACTGCTCTCGTTAAATAACCTTTTGTGCTGTTTCTTGTCTGATGAGTTGGGTAACGTGAGAAAGGTCACACATTAAAGATCCCCCAGGTGGATTTGATCACTAAGATCTTTGCACACTTTTCCAGTTTGGCAAACAAATAAGTAAATAAATAAAACATGGCTGTTTTTTGCCAGGTTGTGTTAAAATGACAGGTAGGGTCAGCTCTCGGCACCTGCTGTTTGCATCTATTCAAGCTGTAAAAGAAGAGCAGCAGCAGAATGTCGACCTGGAGGAGAGACTAGATGAAGAGACGTGGGCAGCATGTGTTGACTGGTCTGCACAGTATGAAAGGCAAATTAAAAATGATGATGATGTTGTGTTTGTGTCCTTCTGACTGGATTCGTTGCAGCTGGCTGCTCTTGATTTTTTACTTGCAGTGGTAGCTATGAATGTTCTCTAACTCTCTGCAAGAAAGCAAATAAGTTTCCCCAAATAAAGGAAGGTGTAAGAAAAGTAAAAGGTGGTGTACTGTAGCGGAGCAGTGCAGCATGTTTGATTTAGGTTTTCAGAGTGGAACAGGACCTCTGCGTCACCTGCTTGAAGTCTGGTACTTGTACTGACCCTTCGCTGGCAGCAGTGTTCCAGGTAGGGAGTGTGCTTCACTGAGGCCTCTGGGCATTGCCATGTCTGCTTGCAGCCACTAGGGGGCAGACAACTCTACTAAAGGAATAATTAAGTTACTTTGTGACATTTAAGGTGTTTGCATGTTACTACACAACATAGAAGTCTAATATTTATCCCCTTGCTTCTTTAGAGACAGAGTGTCCTACTAAGTAGAAACATTTGCTTCTTATTGCTGTTATGTTGGGAATCTTTGTGCATCATGTCCAACTCAGTCATTGTCTCCTATAATCCTCTTAATACCCTTTATTGGAGGTGTGTAACCGTAACATCCCCATGAGGCAGCATCTTGAGATCAACTTACCTCCCTAATTGGATATAGTTCCTATTACAGCAGGACATAGAGTAGCACAGAGAGGAAACATAAGTCACTGTAAAAAGTGTTAGGAGTAACTTTCTGTGACAGGAGAGATGAAGCTTCTGATTTATTGGAAAGACATTTAGCTCTATGGCTGTTTGCACCTGCTGATGGTTATGTTTTTGACTTGTGTGGGTTTTGCAAGTGAAAAAGCAGTTTTTTGTTTTAGTGCAGTAATAAAGCAAAGTACACGGACACCCATACCTTTATGGCTGTTATTTGTAATTCCAAATCCACAGGCATGACTCTGCTGCCAAAAAACCTTTTATTCTTTTTGGTTCAGGCCTTCTACCTGATTTTGGAACGTGGCTGCAGGAGTTTGCTCCCATTCCCTACAAGGACATTAGTGAGTACTAACATTTACTTGAGGCAGTAGGTCTGGCACATAGTCGGGGTCCCAGTTTATCCCAAAGGTGATGAACGGGGCTGAAGTCAGGGCTCTGTGCACAAAACCACTCCGTTATGGACAAGGCTTTGTGTATGAGGACACTGTTGTAACAGAAAAGGCCCAAACGCAAACTGTTGCCACAAAGTTGGAAGCACAGTAATGTTTAGAATATTACTGAGTCGTGTGGTATTAAGGTTTCCCCTCACCTTATTAAATAATGATCCTAGCCTAAACTATAAACTAAGTTGGCCATATATTATGTCACTTTTTGATACAGTAAACAATTTAAATAGAAACCTCATCAAGAAATGCATTCATCCTGGACATAGCATTGACTATATATGAAATACTGTTTATTTCTTTCTTTATCAGTCCTAGCATAAGGTCACCGACCAGCAGGTGGAAAATCTTGGCCTGAGTAATGTTTTTGACAACGGCTTTTGCCACATCATCGACATGCTAACCTATGCTTCTTGTCCACCTTTCACTACTCACTCCTGCTGCTGCTTGCATATTCCAACAGTAGGCTAAGATGGGCTTAGCCAGTGGGAACCCTGAAGCTTGAGCCACCCACTGTCTGGCCCTGTGAACCTGACTGAATCTTACCTTGCATCCTTGGGTACCCGAGCCTTCTCGAATGAGAACTTGGGCAGGCTGCTGGAGTCGTAGGTCCTGGATGTGGGTTCGGCCGACACCCCAGCTTTGGCTCCTTTCCTTCTGTTGAGGGTTTCCTTGATGCGAACACTGAGGTCAGGGCTGCTCTTCCCGCTGGCTTTGATTGAAGGTGGCTGTGATGCCAGGCCGGTCAAGGCTCCGCTCTGATTCTTTATCACGTCCTGCAGCTTGTTGAGCTGGATGCACTTGTTCTGTAGCTCCTCACTCAGCTCGGCCAGAGCTCGGGTCTGTTTGGCCAGCTGCTCCTGCAGACCTTGGATCTGCTGCTCTTTGGTACAGAGCTCCTCATCCTTCCTCTTGGCCTCTCGCTCCAGTTCCTCCACTCGGGCCCTCAGGGAGTCCAGGGATGGGTTTTTGCACCTGCCACCATGGTCTTTGCTGGCTCGGCCATTAGAAGCAGCAGCAGCAGAGCCGTCCGAGTGTTTGTAACGCTTTGATTTCATGGATCCATTGCCCATCTTATCACCTGGCAAAACGATAGAGAGAGTCAGTAACAGCTGAAATGATTGAAAAGGGGAGCAAGCTTTTCCAACAGTACCGTGACATTTAGCACAAAAAGTCTCTGAGGAAGCCGGGAGAGAGCCTTCGAACAAAGAGTTGATGGTGTGATAGGAGAAAACTGGACAGAGGAGAGAGAGCAAATCAGTGTATAATGGCCAATGAGTGAGTCCTCTCCATGTATTATTCAGACGCAGGAAGTATTACATTACATCAACAGTCACTCCCTATCTGCTCTCATGGCAGCAGTGAGGGAGACGCTGCTCAGGAAAAAGGACAATTAGCCAAAATAAGGACAGAATCGTGTGAACAACATAAGATAACATACATAACATGTGTAGCACGTTTGTCTCCACATAGTGAGAGGGAACATGGCAGAAATGTCCGAATACAATCGTGGCTTTGTTGTGTGGGACTGGCGCCCACTCGCTGTCAAACAGCCACTTTATTCTGAAAATCAAAGTTACTGCCATTACTTTTAACCCTATTTACAGAGAAATCCCCTATTGTTTAGAAGCTCGAACTCTTTGACGCACTAACTGGCACACTAGTACAGATTTACTCACGCACACCTGAGAACTGCTCATATTATAGAATAGCTCGCTAGTTTTTTTCGTGACTGGGATTAAAACAAATTCATTTAACTAATTAAACTCGCTCCTGCTGCTCCGATGCCTCGTCATTCTTCTGCTGCGATGGGCGTGAAACACGAATCCGTCTGGTCCGAACTCACCTGGTTCTTTATCAGAGCCTGCGCACGACCTCGGAACACGCGTTAAGAGAGGAACTGATGTGCGTGCACATGGGAGCATCCGTGGAGAAACGGTCCACCTGCAGCTTCGGTCGCATCCTCCCGCTCTCTCCCCACGCGCGCGCTCTTGCCTCCTTGGTGCTGCGCGTTCTCGCTCGCACGGGTTTGATTGGCGGTCACACTGTATGTAGGCTTATGATGGACGAGGATAAAGTTTTGTAATAATAATAATAATGCTACACTAAGTGCAGCCTAATACTGAGCCGTAAACATTTTGGTAATTCGTTAAAAGTATTTAAGCCCTGACTGGGACTTGCAGTGGCCTAACAAGAAGTTAGGCATCAGACAGATCAGAAAATGTCCCCAAAAATTCAATTACGCTAATTAAAGACGTAGTTATAAAATCCAAAATACAGTGTATTACAATTATGTTAAAAAATTTGATCAGAAAAACAACAGAACTGCCTGAAGACTTTTTTAAAAAATCCAGAATGATAACTTTTAAGTTCAAGACAAAACACAACAGGTGATTTTTAACAATAGACAGACTTGTCATAACAAACGCACAACAAGAGGAGTGTTGTATGAGGAAGATAAGTGCAAGTGGCGGGGTGAAGGAGTGCACTTCATGTTTGGATTTGGAAGATTTAGAACTTTTATAAGGTTAAAGTGTTTATTTGTCATATGCACAGTTAGGAAACGTGTTTCCCTGTAACATGCTGACAGCTCCAGTTCAGTGCAGGCTTCATGGACTGTTGGTAACAGTGAGTTCTGGGAAGAGAGGGGTAGCTGTCCACAAAGAAAAGGTGATAGATTTGTTTTTGTTTGTTTGTTTGTTTGTTTTTTGTTGTTTTACGAAGCATCTAAATAAAAATGTAATAAATATCTATACTTTGCTTTGGGGTGCCCTTTAAAAGTGATAATAAGAAGAAAAGACACATTTTCGCCCCCTGGTGTTGCCAACCTTTCCATGACTCTTTTCTACATGTGCTACTTTTGACTTTGCATTTACATTATCCTGTGATTGTAACTTGTGTGCACAGCTGTTCATCACAGGCCACTTGTAAAGACACCAATTAGCCTATAACTTTGTTCTGTAAACATGTTGACTAACAGTTATCTGCTATGTGGTCCTGACTAGTGTAGTGGGCGAACAGAACTGCTGCTGCTGCTGCTGCTAGAAGAGGTGCTGAAGACAGCAGTGAGAGTGAGCTGGAAACCCCAAACCATGAGTTGAAAGGTGCTAAAAAGTGAGACCTGGGGGAGATCTGCAGGCTTGGGGGTCATGGGTGTGAGTGCCCCCTTTAAAACTGCACATTTGAATCACCTTTCATTTAAACCTTCTGAGCTGTTTTAAAGAGAGGAAATCTGAACAAGAGTTCAGGAGATATATGTGCAGTGAATGCCTCGACCCAAAACCGCAGTCTGTCACATCCAGAAATGATTAATTGGTTTTCCCAGTGTGACGCTGGTCTGAGCAGACTGGCCTGCAGCAGATTCCATTGACAGCCCCAAAACAATAATGGCAGCTGTCCAAAGCTGATTTATCTGCAGCACTCGGACCACAACAAAATAATCATCCAGGTCACTGAGTCCCAACCTGAAGCTGAGAGGAGTCAGAGAGGCTGCCAGATGATCTCAGGACATACTGTGAATGAGTGAACATTAGCTGACTCTGTAGTACAGGCCTTCTCCGAGTGACTGACTATGACTTCAGTAACTTAGTCAAGGCCAGTTTGACAGAACCCATTCAGTGCTGAACATTGGTTCACTGACTGTTTTGATTGCATGGTGGCTTTTATCACAGTCAGAACATCTGCGTTTGGAAATACATTAGACTGTTCACAGCACAGAAGACTGCTCAATAGTTTCTGACCTTCAGCTGCCAGAGAACAGCATGTCACTTGAAGCGTGTTGTGTCGTAGCAGCAGTTTTCATATTTGAAATTTCTATAAACATTAGTGTGGCATCATTTAAAGGTCAAGGTAAATCAGTTCATTTATAGCTCATATGATTGTGGAGTGTGTCATGGCCTTTATAGCTTTTGACCCTTTAAAGTCAAGCACAGTCTTATGACATAATTGACTAAAATAGGACACAATTCTGATTTTATGAAGCATAAATGTTGTTCTGCTCTCCTGTGTTGTCATCATTTCTCAGATATGAGACCTTTTGATTGGGAACCTGTGGTTTAGTGTGATTTGCTTAACTTAACTGCCATCAGAGTCAGTTAAGTTAATTTAATCATTTGATTTAAACATAATTTATGTTTTAGTAAATGCGGTCTGATTAACATAAATTAGATCAAAAGCTCATACATAGGAACATACATGGTGTATGTACATGATCCTCAGGAAGTTTGGTTTTGGTTAAAAAAAAAAATTCCTACCTCTTTATTGCCATTTCACATTCTTGTTCCCGTAGGCAGTGATTGTGTTGTACGCCTTCAGCCGTCCCTTCCTGCTG